GCCCTTCTAGTTTAAGTGCACATGTGATGACTAGTTTCTCAGCTAACTTGGGTAGAGATTAATAAAGGGTCTAATGATATCAACTTTTTGCTCTCATGGTAAAATATCTAAAAAGACTCACTGATAAATAACTTTCAATACCCACAATCATATTTGTGATATTCGGTGGCAGAGATAAATGTTTTACTAACCAAGAGTGGCTATGTGCTTATATCTAGGATATCCCTACAGAGGTGAGAGCTTACTTTGAGGCTATGGTGATAACAATGATAACCCTAGAGTTGCCCATGCTCTATTGCTTTGCAACAAGACAAAATTCTTTGGTGTTGGGTAGCAAGTTACTATTCCAATCTTTCATCATAAGTATGGCTAAACATCACAAACAATAAATGTAGAGCCACACCTTCCTAAAGGCAGCAACTTACTCCTTGAGTTTAGAAGTTGAGGAAAACTAATATGACACAAAGTAGTTTGCGCACAAGCTGAGGCATGCAATAGAGTGTAAGCTCATGAATTTGGACTTCCCGAGAGGTCACCTAGCCCAGTATTATTTAAACCCAAGAACACTAACCTCAAGTATTCCAAAAACTTTAACTAATTGGAAAAGGGGGTGCATTCTTATTCATGGGCCCTTTCCTTTTATATTTGAACCCCATGGACTATGTCTCGAGTCGTTCTCTTTAGTTGTTGACAATCCACCATGCTTTCTTGCAAGTTCACGCCCTCGTGAATGGAAGTTGAGAGCCACAGCTTTCTCGAGAGCTCCACTCTCTTGACACCCTATCTCTTAGGTTAAGCCTAGCTAGAGCAAATTAGACTTGCGGATGTCAATTAACATGTGGTGCGATTCCTCTAGCCAACTAACAGAGTCAAACCTGAGACCTCTTTGATATTAAATATAAACTTCTGAATTTAAACTTCCTAGGAAGCCACCCAGCCCAGTACTATTCAAACCCAAGGATGTTAACCTTAAGTATCCCAAGACCTTTAACCGATTAGAAGAAGGGTTGCATTCTTATTCATAGACCCTTTTCCTTTATATTTAAACTCCATAGACCATTTTTCGAGTCGTTTTCTTTGGTTGCTTACATGGAGTAGTCACTTCTCTTTGGTGAGCATTGAGTTTTACACAGCAAGTATTGGAGTAATTTAGGCATAATATAACAGAGTCTAGATGAGAACAGTTTTGCTAGTGGTTTCTAGGAAAACACTTTATAAGTTGTGAACTTTATGTGATAACAATTTTGATAAACATGATGATAAATTAATAATATATTTAGGATATAATATATCATGGCCTATCTAAGGCCTCAAGTAACATTTGACATACCTCTCTTTGTTGCACAAGCAATCTTAGGAATATAATGGTAAGTTTTAAATACACATATGTAGGAAGGGTGCTATGGGATATGTGTCTAACCTCTAACATGAGTGCAAGGTGCATGACCTTCTAGTCAAACTCAATGTCTTCTATATTGTTTTCATATGTGCAATTATGGATGCATACTAGCTCTAAAAAAAGAAAACCTCCTATTGTATTGACAATAGAAAAACTTTGCATATATACCTCATAAAGAAGGACTAAAGTTGAGTTTTGGTACACTTTGTTAATATTTAGTGCAACAATATCTTTTGACTAAATAAGGAGGCAAGATCCCTTTGTAAGTGACTAAATTTTCTATTTTACTTTAGTCACTTAACCACATCTTTAACCATTTGGAAGAGTCTTACTCACAACCTCCATAAGTTCTATTCTTGACTTAGGAATATACTATCCTCGTGAATGGCATCTATGCCATTCAACCATTACACTTGGTCCAAGTGCTCTATATGTTCAATCCCATAACAAACACCCATAAGGTACTATTGACATATTAATCTGTTACGCTAAGATTATGTTTATCCGCCTTTAACTCATTTGTAGTCTAAAACCACCCATACCATAGTCTTATCTCTCAAAGACTGGGCCATCTGTCCATGAATGGTCATTCTATGACCACATCTTACATTTTAAGGATACCCAGAAACATAAAAAACACCCTTCCCCAATATCCTTTCTTTGGTCCCCACTAAGTCCCACTCTATTCACAGCAATGCTTGCCAACACCGCCATTGAGTCAAGGCTCAAAAGCCTGACCACTAAGTCCCACTAATCTTTAAAACTTCCTTACCATGTGACTATGCTTTTGATTGTTACACAAGAGGACTGATTATCTTCCTTTCCATAATCCAAGACTTTGGGATAACATTTTGAAACATAATAATGTAAATAATTAAAGAGAACGATTTAAGAGACAATCCATAAGGTTTAAATATAGAGGGAAAAGGCCCATGAATAAAAGTGCACCCCCTTTTCCAATCAATTAAGGGTATTGGGATACTTAAGGTTAAACATTATTGGGTTTGAATAATATTGGGTTATGTGACATCTCGAGAAGTTTAAATTCAGAAGTTTACATATAGCCATATGTGAGTCTTGTAGGTACTTTCCCTAGCTTCTGCCCTTGGCTGCTTTAGCCATATAGCTAGAGCGAGGTTTCAATGAGCCAAAAGGTATCCAAATAGACAGTGCCACCCACACTTGGATTGGGAGCATTGACTATTCGATCTCCTGAGGGAATTAAAGCCAACTCTTAAACACTTCACCAAACTACTTTATTTATTGTTCATATTCACTTTAGCTTTAAATTCATCTATGGTTATATTATCACCCACCATGAATATAACCTTTCTGGATCACACTAGCATTTCTTAGCCAAATTATTTTCATTAGAGTCCAACCCCCACACTCTCCCTACTATACTTTTGGAACCCCGGACAATCTCTTTGGGCTTTCACTTCTAAACTTGTATAAATATTCAGACTTGGTCTCAGTCTTGTTCTCGTTCCCAATGTTGGGCTCATTCTCGATCTCAACCTTGGTCTTAGCCTCGGTCTCGAACTTAGTCATGGACTCAGTCTCAAACTCCTTCTCAGACTCAGACTCAATTATAACATTTCCATGTGTCATAACATTTGCTATATGTTAATCTTTCTTGTGTCCCTTTCTAAAGACTTATTTATCAATCACTTTGTACTCATTCCTCAAGTGCTTCTTTTAGAATTTCACGTTTACTCTCAATTTTTCAAGTCGAAGCTTTTAGTCTAAATGTGTTGAACTCATTAGACTTCCACTTCAACCATTGCCATGTGGCACACTTTCGGCTTCACTTTAGGGCTTAAAGATTTGTGTCTTACACCTTCATTCTGTAACTTTCCCTCAATTTAACACTCATCTATGCAGAAATTTCTTTATTCATTGTAAAACCAGTCACTTGCAAAGTATTTTTCATTACTCTTACCAAGGGGAGTGCCTTAAATATGTAGTGATAACCCTATGGCATTGAAAAGGCACTAAAAATCTAACTCACATACTAAAAATTGTAAACCTTGCTATTGACATGTTAAAAAAATCTAACTATGGGGATATAGTGCAAAAAAGCATACACATGGCACTAATTTGGAATTTACCATACATATGTGGTAAGCACCAATACATGCCATGCATAAAAAAAGAAATGCTCAAAATATTATTTTGTAAGTCACACATGTATGTTATACACATATGCTTTTTTAATATATGTTTTGAAAGCGTGCTAAATTTTTGTCTAGGCCACAGTATGCCTAGGCATACCTCCCAAATGGCAAATGGCAAGCAGTTTATGATTGCAATGGGAGGGAAAAATAATAGTGTGAGGGTATGTTTTAGGGTATTATTAAACTACTTAGTTTGATTTATACTTGGCAGTCATAAGTCATCTATTATTTTATTCTTTACATTAAAAATATATTAAATACTTAGTAATAGTAGGTTTCTGTTGCTAAGAAATAAAAAAACAGTATTTATATAAATTATTATATATTTTATTTTATATAAATATATATAGAACAGAGATAGGAAGTTACCAAGCACAAATATAATATAGTATTGTTTATATATTATATTTTGTACAAGGTGGTGTTGGAACTTCCTATGGTACTTTGAAATAAGCTCAATTCACATATAAATTTTGATTATATAGATTTTCTAAAAATCTATGGCTTTGGTTGTGCAAATCAATTTTACAGTGCAACTGATGCTCTTGCTAATCACATGTACTTATACATATGGGTTGGAAAATGCAAAATCTAATAATAACACCCTTAATAATGCTATAAATCCTTTTGTGAGCACGAATAAGACCATATTATGGATGAATGTAAGTGACATTTCTAAAAGCATAGATGAAATACCAGATGTAAGTCATGTTTTACTTCTATTACTTTCATTTATAAAACTTTTGTGACATTTTCCAGTTTATATGTGGGAGATTTCAAGCAACTTGTACTAATATCCGTTTATATATTTATAAAGCTTTAAAAATTGTGATGGTTGGAGCAAAATGTGATTCTGGGGATGGTGGATATGGGAATGTAATGGTGGATACTAATAATGGTATAAGTAACGAATTTGGAAGGCTAAATAGAGGAAGTGATTACACTGACTCTTGCGATATAGATTCTATTGAGCTACATGGTTCAATCCTTGCAGCAAGTTGTAAGAATAAAGATGGTTATTTACATACTTCTTTTCTGCAGTTAAACTACCTTTTGAGGAATGTATTTGGCTCCTTGTTCTTTTGCCCTCTACCATCTCTTAGAACTGAACTGATTTAAAAAATAATATATTAAAAAATTAAGGTAAAATTATTGTTGGTTTGCACTTTGTAATGATTCTATTATTATTAAGTTTTAATATTAATGAAGGCTGTTATAAAGAAAAAAGATTTCGGTGTTACCTGAATTCGATTGCTGGAACAAAAAAATTAAATTTTAACTATCTTTTTCTTTTTCATTGGCAGATAAAATTGTATGGGATATACTAAGAATATGTATTGAAAAATACACGTGGCAACGACTCTGGGAAAACCTCTTGGCTCAAATTTTTTTAGGGTTCTCTCTCCTTTTCCGGTTGTAATGCCATGACGGAGAAGAAAGGTGATGGCGATGCCACCGCCAAGAACAACAGCAGCAACAAGGTATGGAAGCGTCCAGTCAAGAGATCGTTCACAGGCGCTGCCGCCGCCAATGCCGCCGCCGCTGCGGTGCGCTCCAGATCCTCGCAGAAATCCTCCAGATCCAGCCTCACTCTCGCTCCCAAGGCCAGCAACGCGATCAATTCCCAGAATCCCACGCCAGCGTCCCTGGAGATCGTCCCCGACGAGGCGCTGGGCAATATTTTGGGGCGGATCTCCGACGGGAGAATGCTGGCCCGGTGCGCGGGCGTGTGCCGGCGGTGGCGTCGCGTCTGTCGCCAAGTCCCGGTTCTGAAGCTCGTGCTAAGGAAGATGCAAGCTTGGCAGGCGGAGGGCGTCATCTCGGCGGCGCTGCTCGAGAGGAAAGGCCTGCGGGACTTTGAAGTGAGATTTGTGTGCCCGAGAAAGTATGCCTCGGAGGGAGTCCGCGAGAGCCGCGTCTTTGGCTGCCTGTGGAGGCTCAGCTCCAGCATCGAGACGCTGGCTTTGATCTGCCCAAACACCGTCTACTTCAAGCTCTGGACTTGGCTCGCAAAGTTCCCACGCCTGCTCAGCTTGAAGATCCACTGCGGGAGGATCGAAGAGAACCCGTTGAACAACTGCCTGAATCAGCTCCGGCGCTGCGAGTTCTCCCGGACGATCATCGCGGAGCCGATGCTCGAGGACCTCGTCAAGTTCTCTCCAGTTCTCGAGGAGCTCGTGGTCGTGGGCTGCGACCCGATCGAGTCCCTGGCGCTGGAGAGCTCGAGCCTCCGGTATCTCAACTTGGTGGCCACCGCGGAGTATCCAATGAAGAGCTTGGAGCTCCTCACCCCGGGGCTCAAGGATCTCTACATTTGTCACGTCGAGGAGCTCCAAGTGAATGGCTACGAGCTCGTCCATCTCGGGATCTACTCGGCGTGCCAGCCTCGCATCTCGAGCTTGCATCATCTGCTCAGCTTGGAGACGGATGGCAAAGGCTGGGCTCTGGAATCTATAGAACACATCGTCTGTGCTGCTCAAGTCGTCCGCCACCTTGTGATCAAGGCTTCCATCTCCGAGACGAGGCCTCTCCGGATCGAGCACTACTTGTCGCCGATGTTTTGCTTGCAAGCCGTGATCCTCGAGTCCAATCTTCTCGAGGTATGTGCTTTCTTAACTTTCTTCTCGTCTTTCAGGGGACTGATTCGAGGTTTTCTAGCTTCTGTCCGCCAGTGCTTTTGCCGTGGCTTTGCGGAGATACCATTCGATGGAGACGAGCCAGTGTTTGCTCTCAAGAAGGTTGCAGTGAAGCTCTCGGAGGAGACACGGGACTGCACGGGGCTGCTCAAGGCTCTGGTGAGCTACTGCCCGGATTTACAGATCTTGGTGGTGGATACGACGGAGCTCGAGCTTGGAAATCTCAGCGAGCTCCAGCAGCTCAAAGATCAGGAGCAGTCTCCCCAGCGGCGAGTTCTACTCTATAGTGATCCCAAAGACCAGCGGTTAGTGAAAGAAATCGCCGAGATCCTTGCAGCGGACTCCAAAAAGGTAGAATTTTTTTTTTTTCTTCTCTTGGTTAGAAACTAAACTTCTCTTTGTTTTCTCAGGTTTGAATTTAGAAGCCGCAAATGCACACCACAGATACGGTGAATTTTCGTTCTAGAGTATGATCTCTAATGAGAGTCGTTCCTTTTTCCATGCTTTCTTGATCAAATTTTGCAATGGATCTAGCTAGTACACTGGAACCTTGTCATCTACTCTGGTGGAATACGCATGAATCCCTCCAGACACATTGTGGAGGCGAGAGAATCCCTGTTTCACGCTTGTAAGGATCATTTCAGCAATAAAAAGAAAACCAGTGAAATGTTAGACCTGGGATTTCAACCATTGAGCTGCTTGTAGCGATCTTACTCCATGGTGGCACTGCTCCAAAACGGTCAAGCGAAGAACTTAAAAAGCCAAAAACAAAGACTATACCATGACGAACGTGTCTTTGTCCGGATCAAGCGTGTCGCCGATTGTTGGTCCCCATTCTCCAAATTGGCTCAAAGGAAATGGCTTGAAGCCATCCAAGCTAGCTATTTTTCTGCGAGAAAAATAAGTTTATAGAGCTTTACACAGAAGGATTGGGAGTAGAAATCCAAGCACTTACATCTCTTTGAGCTCTCTCACGTCAAGAAGTTGTGCGTTCTCCCTGAATTCGGGGTCTTTCATTCGCTTGGCGAGCTCTTCCGGTTGGATTTCCACCAAAAAGCCAGCTTGCCTGTGCACACAAGAGACTGTAAGTTATAACAGTGTGATACGATTGACAAAACCTTTCTGATAAAACTTGAAGTAGATGCCAGCCAAACTTCGTCTTTGCACGCACGATTTTGTTCAGCGGTGCGCTAAATGCTGCTTCTTCAAACTCGGGCACCTGATAGCAAGAACAAAAGGAAAACAAATGAGAAAACTCGCCAGGCCAATGTTTGTTTACCATGCGTCCTTTGCTGACCCATCCCAGCATCCCACCATTTTTCTTCGAGGGGCAAATCGAGTGCTCCGTGGCTAAGTCGCTCAAATCGATATCCTCTATAGAGAGAAGGAAAAAAATCACAGAGTCGAGAGAAAAGAAACGATTTGGAGACAATGAAAAGGTAGCTCATACCTTGAACGAGTCGTTTCTGGAGCTCAGTGAGCAATTGAAGCTGGTCCTCCTTGACGAGCAAGTGCTGGACTAAAATCTCCCGATCTTGATTCCCCGAAGTGCCTGGAGAAGGAAACAAGCTTGAATCCCGTGGAATGAAGATGAAGGTCGCGGAATTTTCACGAAATCTTACCTGCGCTGCAATACATTCTATGCGCTGCTGCCGTGGCCACATCCTTCCAGCTCCTGGATTCGAGAAACCTGAATGCCGGATGGATTTTCTTCGCGGCCAGCCTCAGCGCAGGCACCAAAGGCAGCGGCAATGCAGGGGCGGCGAGCGGCGCCATCGCTGCGCGGCGACGCCATTGGCAATGGAGCAACGCAATGGAGCCCTCGTAGCGAAGCATATTCTCCACACAAGAAAGAAAAATGGACACAGTAACAAGATTCCAGAATAATTGATTGACTGTTTGACCCACTTGACCGTTGTTAGGTCTTTGACCAGATGCCACGTGTATTTTGCCACAACTTTTTACTGAGACAAACAAAATGGATAATCGAATATGCCTTGGCGCCATAGATTTGAAAGCCCCGCCCATACTCTCTATTCTCTCTTTACTTTCTTTCTTTTTCTATTAGGGTTCTAGGCCGGGGCGATGGTGGGCTTCCTCGCTTCCTCCTCTCCCATCGTTGACGATGGCTCCAGAATCAAAGCGCCCAAAGAGGAACCCATTCTCGCCGACAATCCACAGCGCTTCTGTATGTTCCCGATTCGCTACCCCAGGGTGTGGGAGATGTACAAAAAGGCCGAGGCGAGCTTCTGGACTGGTGAGATCCGGTTTCTAGCTAGAAATCCCCTTCGTTTCATTTGCCAGCGCCGCTAAGAGTTGGGGCATTTCAGCTGAGGAGGTCGATCTCTCCCAGGATGCCAAGCACTGGGAGTCTCTCACCGACAACGAGAAGCATTTTGTGAGCCATGTCTTGGCCTTTTTTGCCGCCTCGGATGGCATTGTCTTGGAGAATCTGGCTGTGCGTTTCATGAAAGAAATCCAGATCCCGGAGGTAAGGCATTTTTTCCTCTTGGGTTCTTTGTCTTACAGCATTTGCCAGGCTCGGGCATTCTATGGCTTCCAAATTGCCATAGAGAACATCCACTCGGGTATGAATCCCTTGCTTTTCTTTGTTATGTTTCCTTTTTCTACTGTTCTTCCTTCTCTTGCAAATCTTGTGCATGATTTCGAAGCTTACAGCTACTTCGCTTTTTTTTCACAGAGATGTATAGTCTTCTTTTGGAAACTTACATCAAAGACAACGAAGTGAAAGCGAAACTTTTCAATGCAATCGAGACCATCCCTTGTGTCGCTAAGAAAGCAGACTGGGCCCTTCGCTGGATCGACAGGTACAAGTCCGAAACTTGATTGCTTAATTCCCGAATGAAAAGACATGATGCTTGACTCTCCAGCTCACAGTCGTTCGCGGAGAGAATTGTGGCGTTTGCTTGTGTGGAGGGCATTTTTTTCTCTGGAAGGTAAGAGATCGAGAATTTCTTTTGTAATTTTGATCTTTCACATTGACGTTTGCTTTGGCAGCTTTTGTGCGATTTTCTGGCTGAAAAAAAGAGGCCTCATGCCAGGACTCACTTTTTCCAATGAACTTATCTCTAGGGACGAGGGGCTCCACTGTGATTTTGCCTGCCTCTTGTACAGGTAAGCCATAAGATCTCCAGTCGAAGGATCTGGCCTCTAATCGGGTGATTTGCAGCTTGCTAAATGTGAAGCTGGACGAAAAGAGAGTCAAGGAAATCGTCTCGGATGCTGTGGAGATTGAAAGGCAGTTTGTTTGTGAGGCGCTGTCGTGTGACTTGGTCGGCATGAACGCAAGGCTCATGAGCCAGTACATCGATTTCGTAGCTGACCGCTTAATGGTAAGCAAATCTTCTTGCTAAACATCTCTTGTTTCAACCTCTTTTTCTCGTCTCTCCAGGTCGTCTTGGGTTACAATAAGCTGTTTAACGCGATCAATCCATTCGACTGGATGGATCTCATCTCTCTTCAGTGAGTTAACGTTCGAAGTTTCCCGTTCTTCTTTTCTTTCTTTTCAAAGCTTTCTTTTGTGTGATCTTCCAGAGGGAAAACCAACTTCTTTGAGAAGCGTGTCGGCGAGTACCAAAAAGCGTCAGTCATGGCAAAGGTTTCGAATCCGGAGGCCGATCACCATGTGTTTAAGCTGGATGATGATTTCTAAGTATATTCACTCTGCCGCTTTCTACACGGCATTCCAGGACTAACATTTTCTTTTCTTCTTCCCAGCAGGATGACAAAGTCCGCGAAACAGCTACAGCTCCTAAAGTAATTTCGCTACGTAAGTGTGGAAAACAAGTTTATAAACGAAATCAAACGAGTGAGATTCGAGGCAATTCTGACTGAAGAGAAAAATCAACTGAAATGGAAGCAAGGTGGAAGCTTTGGTAAAGAAAAAAAAAAAATCAACCTTTGAAAACGTCTTTCGTTAGTCGTATTTACACGCAAAAGAGATTTTTAGTAGACAAAACAAGTCTCGGGTAGAATGGACGAAGCAAGAGTCCAAGAAAGAAAAATGAGAGAAGCTCTTCATCCATAAATTGTGGAACTCAAGAATCTCCATTGCCGTGGCTTCGCAAACTTCATATGGCTGGGGGACTTGCAGTTAGAAAAAATTTCTTATTCATTACGTTCTTTGAGATTCGTATTTTTTCGATCCAGGGATTCCTCCTCACGAAATGGCGCTCCTGGATCTTGCTCAACGATTCCTGGTCGAGCAAATGGTGGTACTCGACCGTGCACATTGTCACCGTGACGGTGGGAGCCGGGGTCTTGAGCTTGCCGACGGTCATGGCCTACTTTGGATGGTAAGATCTTTGATCGCTCACAAGAAGTTCCATCGATGACGAAGAAACCAATCTTACTCCAGGGCGCTCGGAACTATGCTGCTGGTTGGATTCCTGATCCTGAGCCTGATGTGCTACTGGCAGCTGATTCAAATGCACGAGACTGAACATGGCCACCGGTTCGATCGATACCACGAGCTGGGACAGCACATCCTGGGACGTCATCTCGGATTCTGGCTCATCGCTCCGCTCCAGGCCATCGCCCAAGTGGGAATTGACACGGTTTACATCATCGCCGGGGCGAATTCCCTCGAGCACGTCTACTCACTCTTTGACAAATGCAAAGAGCTGGACGTCCATAAATGCAAGGGCATCAACCTGACTTACTGGATGATATTGTTCATGGGGGTGCAGCTCTTGCTCTCGCAGCTCCCGCACTTTCAGTCCATCACCTGGGTGTCATTCATCGCTGCTGTTACAGCCATTGGGTAAAAAGCTGCTCTTTTTTCGCTTCGGTAAAATTGTTTACAGCTGTTTTACTACTTTGACAGGTATTGCACACTTGCCTGGGTTGGAATTCTGATTAAGCAACCTACAAGTTCAGCTTTAAGTTCAGGTTCGGCTGCATCTGCACCTACACAATGTTTTCAGAATGTTGGGCATGGCTATCCACAAGGTTCCGAAGCTCACTTAGCTTTCGGGATCTTCACCTCTCTCGGGAAGCTGGCATTTGCAGCAGCAGCCGGGCACAACATTGCTCTCGAGATCCAGGCCACTATCCCGAGCACTACTCGGCACCCTTCGAAAAGAGCGATGTGGAGAGGGATTCTGGTGGCCTATCTGGTGGTTGCGTTTTGCTACTTGCCTGTGGCGCTTGTGGGATACAAGGTTTACGGGGATGAAACACGCGACTTGTGCTCGGGCTTGGACAATGTCCTGCTCAGGCTCAGGAATCCCAAACCGATGATTGTTCTCGCGGATTTGATGGTTTTCATACATCTGTGTGGCAGCTACCAAGTACGTCGCTTGTTTTTTCCTCTGTTCTTGACAAGTGCAATTGTGCAGGTGCTTGCAATGCCACTTTTTAGCAATTTTGAGACGCTCGTGGAGAGGATGTTCAAATTTGAGGCGAACCTCAAGCATAGAATGATCATGAGATCGATTTATGTTGGTAATTCTAAAACCTTTTCATGTTCAGGTCTTTTGTTTATGTTTTTCTTTTCTTCTTCTTTCAGTCTTCACGTTTTTGCTGGCCGCATCACTTCCATTTTTTAGTGACCTTCAGGCCTTTTTTGGAGGTTTTGCAATAGTTCCTACAACTTATGTGGTAATCATCCCATGATATTGCTAGATTTATTTCTTCTTTTCCAGATACCTTCCGTTCTTTGGCATTTGGAAAGAAAACCAGAAAGATATAGTCCCCAATGGATAGCAAACTTGGTAAGTGGAAATTCTCTGAAGTCCTTATTGCTCATACATTGATTTTAAGATCTGCATATCCTTTGGAACCGTGGTGATGTTTACATCGACCACAGGTGGGCTTCGGAGTTTGATATTAAAAAGAGAAAAATCAAAGCCTTTTTCTTGAGCAATATATCGGTACAATTTGTTTTTCTTTTTTTTTCTCTCTCTCGAAGTCAGCTGTGTTTATAATGAAAAACTCAATTTACACCTGCAGCATGATTTGAAACTTTCATAGCTCACCAGAGTGGACACGCTGGTAAAAAAGTGAGCTATGAGTGAGAATGCTTAAGAATGAATTAGTGAGGTGGGCTTCGGAGTTTGATATTGAAAAGAGAAAAATCAAAGCCTTTTTCTTGAGCAATTATCGGTACCTTCCAGAGGAAACGAAGGGAAGATCACCCAAAAGTCAGTTGTTGGCACGTTCAAGGATGGCAACTGTCATTTCTTTGCAAGTTTTCTTTTATTTGGGTGTAGCGATCTGATTCTCGTTGCTCTTATTTGTAATGAAAGATCCCTTCTTCAGCGTTAATGTTGACTATGAGTTATGAAAGTTTTACTTATTTAGTGTCTATAAAAGTGGTAAGGACTTGCAAAAAAAAGTATTAAAGTCTCAGTTGTTGCCATGTTCAAAGATGTTTCTTTTCCAGTTTTGAGCGGGTTTATAGAAACTAAATAAGTAAAACTTTCATAACTCATGCAGAAGGGATCTTTCATTACAAATAAGAGCAACGAGAATCAGATCGCTAGACCCAAAAAAAAAGAAAACTTGCAAAGAAATGACAGTTGCCATCCTTGAACGTGCCAACACCGACAGCGACACATGAACGAGGACTGGAACTCTCACTGCTCACACGACTCATGAACTAGTTCCATGAGATCCATGTCTCAAAATCCTCCATCCCTTTATGTAGCTAGCTAGCTCTTGACAATGGCTGGAATAAAGGTAGGTTCTAGAGATTCATCTCCTTCTTTCTAAATCCTCGCAAAAATCTCCCAGAAATCCCTCCTCAAGAGATGGCGCTCGTGGATCTTGCTCAACAATTCCTGGACAAGCCGGTGGTGGTATTCCGCGGTTCACATCACCACAGTGACGGTGGGAACCGGAGTTTTGGGCTTGCCGACAGTCATGGCCTTCTTCGGATGGTAATTGTGATGCTCCACTCTCTCCAGAACCGCGTGATCGACTCACAGGATCCAGGGAACTCGGCACCATCCTGATTGTGGGCTTCATGATCCTGAGCCAGATGTGCTACTGGCAGCTGATTGGATTGCACGAGACCCAAGAGGGCCGCCGCTTCGATCGATACCCTGAGCTGGGACAGCACCTCCTGGGCGACTCTCTCGGATTCTGGCTCATCGCTCCACTCCAGGCCATCGCCCAAGTGGGAATCGACACAGTCTACGTCGTCGCGGGAGCGAATTCCCTCCAGCACATCTACTCGCTCTTCCACGAATGCAATGCTTTGGATTGCGGTGCCATGAAGTTGACTTACTGGATGCTCGTCTTCATGGCCGTCCAGCTCTTGCTCTCGCAGCTCCCACACTTACAATCAATCACTTGGGTGTCATTCATAGCAGCTGTCACAGCCATTGGGTAAGAAACGAAGAAAAAAAGCTACTCTCTTTCACCTTCATCCTCTTCCAGGTACTGTACACTAACTTGGGTTTCCATTCTAATTAACCCTCCACCTTCACCTTCACCGTCACCACCTTCACCTTCATCGTCTTCCGCGTGTTTCGCGAATGTCGAGCATGGCTACCCGCAAGGATCCAAAGCTCACATAACTTTCGGGATCTTCACCTCTCTCGGTAAGCTGGCATTTGCGATGGCGGCCGCGCACAATGTGGCTCTCGAGCTCCAGGCGACGATTCCAAGCACTCGCAATCGCCCCTCGAAACGAGCAATGTGGAGAGGGACGCTGATCGCGTATATCGTGGTCGCGTTTTGCTACTTGCCGGTGGCGCTGGTGGGATACCGGTTCTACGGCAACGAGACTCGCGATACTTGCCCGGGGATCGACAATGTCCTGCTCAGGCTCAAGAGTCCCAAACCGATGATTGTTCTCGCGGATTTGATGGTTTTCATTCACTTGTGCGGTAGCTACCAGGTAAGCTTTCCATTTTCTCCAGAGGTTTTCTTCGTTCGAGCTCTTGGATGTGTCACAGGTGCTAGCGATGCCGATTTTCAGCAACTTTGAAACATTTTTTGAGAGGAAGTACGAGGTTGAGCTGAGCTTCATGCTGCGAACGATGGCCAGATATAGTTATGTTGGTAAGACTTTGGTGATGATGAATCTCTTCGATGATTTTTTTTACCTTTGAGCGCAGTTCTGACGTTGATGCTGGCCGCAGCGTTTCCTTTCTTTGGTGATCTTGAAGCCTTCTTTGGAGGTTTTGCTATCATTCCAACGACTTACGTGGTAAGTGCCTGCTTGATTCATCCAGAACTTAAGACTAGATGTTTACCTTTGTTTTTTCTTAGATACCTTCTGTTCTCTGGCATTTGAGTAGGAAGCCCGAGCCATTGAGTCCGCCATGGATAGCAAACCTGGTAAATGAAATTAAAGACGAAAGAAAAACTGTTTTAAAACTCTCTAGCTACTGACTCACATTGCATTTGTTTTTAGTTGTGTATTTCCTTTGGAATAGCGGTGATGGCTACTTCGACGATAGGTGGCCTTCGTAACTTGATAATGAAACGGCGAGAGCTGGAATTCTTTCAATAAGTTGGGAGTCATTTACTCTCCATCCCTGTTAAACACAGCATCAGAGTGGAAACAGAAAAGAAAAATTCAAATGTTACTGCTAGACTACGTTCCAAGGAAAAGTACGGTTGAGACAAAGTCGAGATCGATTCCATCGCCACCGGCCCCCAGATGAAGCCTCTGCTCGTGAATAAAAAAACAGTTTCCCAGTGAGGCTCATCTCTGTGGGACAGATGGAAGAAACCGTACCTTAGAAAGCGTTTTCTTCCTACGGTAGACGAGTCTTTGATGGAGAATCTTGTTGTGGAGAGTAAAAAAAGAAGGCCTGAGGAGTAATCGCCGCTCCCAGGGCAGCCCCGAGTTGTGGCCTGCATATATAAGCGAGAAGCCTCGACGAGGAAGTGAACGAGTACCTTCCCATTCTTGAGTAGTTTTTTTTTTTTTTTTTTTGTCAGGCAAGATGGTAGTCCTGGCGCAAGCCGACGAGAAGCGCCATACTTCTGCGTATGCCGTTCCATTCTTGGATCTCTTCAAGTACGCGGATGCATTCGATTTTCTTCTCATCGCCGCAGGCAGCCTGGGAGCCATTGCCAATGGACTCGCCATCCCTGCAATGATTCTCACACGGGGTCATATCATCGACAGCTTTGGAAGGCCACAGCTGCAAGCTTCGCAAATCAAAGACCAGATATTTGCGGTACCTTTTACTGTTCTTGCTCTGTCTTTTGACGATGTTCTTCTTGCTCTTGCTTTGTTTCTTTTGCTGATGTTGTTCTTGCTCCAGAACGCTCAAGTCTTCGTGTATATCGCACTGGGGGCATGGATCGCGTCGTACCTAGGTAAAAAACGTTCTTATGTAGCTGATATTGAATCACGGGTGCGCTGGTTTCAGAGTTGAGTTGCTGGATGAGAGCTGGAGAGCGCCAAGCCAAAAGGATCCGGACGGCTTACCTCAGATCCGTCCTACGGCAGAATGTAGCTTATTTTGACACGAATGTCACCACCGGTGACGTCGTCAACAGCATCTCCACTGACGCCTTTCTCGTCCAGGAAGCGATTAGTGAGAAGGTGCTGATGAACACAAAAGCGAAAGCAAAACTAACCTCTTCGGCTTGTCTCTGTAGACGGGGAGCTTTATCCGAAATGCGACTCAGTTCCTCGGCTGCTACTTAGTTGGCTTCACCCAGGCGTGGAGGCTTTCACTCGTAGTGCTGCCTTTTACTCCGTTGCTTATCATGCCTGGGATGCTCTACGGGAAAGCGGTAACACGATTTGAAGTGCGAAAGAAATCCGCTTACAGCAAAGCAGGCAGCTTGGTGGAGCAAACAGTAGCTTCGATTCGAACAGTGTTCTCCTTCGTTGCAGAAGACAAGATTCTCAAAAGTTACTCTCAATTGCTGGAAGCGACAGTTCACCTGGGAGTGAAGCAGGGATATGCGAAAGGCTTGGCACTGGGATCCGGAGGAATAGCATTCGCAATATGGTCCTTTATGACATGGTATGGAAGTGTTCTCGTCATGCGCCGGCAGGCTAACGGTGCTGAGATTATTACAACCGGCCTTGCTCTGCTCAACGGTGCAAGGTAAACATTAGAAAGAGAAAAAGTAATTTAAACTTGTACTCACTTCACTTGAGAGAATGGTCAGGTCGTTGGGATTTGCTGCTGCGAACATAAGAACATTCTCGGAAGGGCGGGTTGCAGCTCACAAAATATATGAAACAATTGCACGAGTCCCACCAATTGACGTTGACGATGACAATGGCGAACAGCTCACAAACGTTGCCGGAAAACTGGACTTCAGAAATGTTCTGCACAGCTATCCAGCCAGGCCTGGGGTGCAAGTCCTACAAGAATTGAACTTAAGCATACCACCAGGTGAGAAAATCTTCGCTTACTTGTTATGACACCCCTTGCAGGAAAAACGATTGCACTGGTTGGTGGCAGTGGATCCGGTAAGTCGACGGTAATAGCACTGCTGGAGCGCTTCTACGATCCTCTGCAAGGACAGGTTCTTTTAGACGGGTACGACATCAGGTCCTTGCAGTTGAAATGGTATCGTAAGCAAATTGGACTTGTGAGCCAAGAGCCTGCTTTGTTTGCTACTTCCATCAAGGAAAATATCTTATACGGAAAGGAAGATGCTGATTTCGACGAAATCCTTGAGGCATCTAATGCAGCCAACGCACACAGTTTTATAATGCAATTTCCAAATGCTTACGACACACAGGTACATTGGTACAAATCAAAGGACTTCCTTGGCTAACATTCGGCTTTAAAAAATATGCAAGGTCGGTGAGCGTGGAGCAAAGCTCTCTGGAGGACAGAAGCAAAGAATTGCTATTGCGAGAGCACTAGTAAAAAAACCACCTATATTACTCCTAGATGAAGCAACAAGTGCATTGGATACGGAATCAGAAGCAACAGTTCAAGCAGCACTGGACAAAGCAAGCCTGGGACGTACCACAGTGATTGTCGCTCACAGGTTGTCTACGATTCAGACTGCCGATTTGATTGCTGTCCTGCATTCCGGAAAAGTCATCGAGTTAGGAACACACGACGAACTGGTCTCGAAAGGCAAAGAGGGAGCCTACTCAGCACTCCTTTACTTACAAGGCAAACCTGGAATTGATACCACGACACCAGAGTCACCTCCAAGTCCCAAAGTATCTAGCCAACAAGCCATTCCAGAGCAGCTGAAACAAAATGACGGAGGATCAGATAACTCACCAAAATCAACTTTGTGGGATCTATTGATATCTCTTACCCGAGGCAAGCGGACAGACGGAGCACTGGGGTTGGTTGGAGGTGTGGGTTTCGGATTTGTCCAGCCTTCATATTCACTCCTTATCGGCTCCATGTTGACAGTCTACTACACGAAAAACCGAGAGGAACTAAAGGAGGCAGTATCTTTGTGCAGCATGCTGTTTGCGGCTATCGCAGCAGCGGCCTTCACCGTTAATCTCCTGCAACATTACTGTCTTGCAGTAGTCGGTGAACATCTTACAAAGCAAGTGAGGGTCAAAATGCTTACGTCGATATTAAGTTTCGAAGTTGGATGGTTTGATAAGGACGAGAACAGCAGCGGCATGATCTGCTCCCGCCTGGCAACAGATGCAAACATGGTTGGTTTTGTCCTTTCAGATGTTTTTTTCTGATTATTTTACTTACAGATTCGGAGTCTCGTCACTGATCGAGTGTCGTTGCTTGTTCAAACGGCCAGTGCAGTGGCGGTGAGCTTTATCATAGTACTTTTTGTCAACTGGAGAATGGGCCTGCTTGTCATCGGTATACAGCCCCTCCTTGTCTTCTGCTACTACGTAAAACTGGTGTTTTTGAAAGGCTTCGCCAAGAAAGCTGCCAAAGCACAAAATGAGGCTACTCAGATTGCAACAGAGGCGGTGTCTCAACACAGAACTGTGGCAGCTCTATCTGCACAAGACAAAGTCGTGAGCTCTATGAAGACGATGCTTGATGCAACAACAAAAGACGCAAAGAAACAGTCCCACATTGCTGGCTTTGGCCTTGGAGTCGCAAACTTCGTCCTCTATGCGTCTTGGGCCCTTCAGTTCTGGTATGGAGGGGTGCTACTTACCCAGGGAAAGGCAACCTTGCAGGACGTTTTCAAGGTGTTCTTCGTGTTCTTGAGCACTGGCCGGGTCTTGGCCGAGGCTCTCAGCTTAGCACCGGACTTGGCCAAAGGATCTGCAGTCATCGAGTCAGTGCTTAGCATTCTAAACAGGAAGACAGAGATCAACGCGGACGACAAGAATTCTGCGAAAGTTGGCAGAATCGAAGGAGAGGTGGAACTTTGCAATGTGGACTTTGCATACCCATCGAGACCGGAGATGATGGTTTTCAAGAGCTTCAACTTGCGAGTAGAGGCGGGGAAATCTGTGGCGCTAGTCGGCCAAAGCGGATCCGGAAAATCGACAATCATAGGACTCATACAGCGATTCTACGATCCCTTGCAAGGCATGGTGATGATCGATGGAAGGGATATAAGAACACTTCACCTGAGGTCACTGAGAAGGCAGCTTGCGCTCGTCGGCCAGGAGCCCGTCCTCTTGGCAGCCAGCATCCGCGACAACATCGCCTTTGGCCAAGAATCCTGCAGCGAGCAAGAGATTATCGAGGCATCAAGCATCGCCAATGCCCACACATTCATAAGGTGAGAATAGACAGATAGAAGAGCGATCGATCGAAATATGTGACTTATATTGGGACCTTTCCAGCGCCTTGCCCGATGCCTACAACACGGCCGTTGGAGAGCGTGGCGCGCAGCTCTCGGGAGGGCAGCGGCAGCGAATCGCCATAGCCAGGGCGATCCTCCGGAACCCCGCAATATTGCTCCTGGACGAGGCCACCAGCGCCCTAGACGCAGAATCCGAGCGCCTCGTCCAGGACGCGCTGAGCAAGACGATCATCGGCCGGACGACAGTGACAATCGCGCACAGGCTCTCCACGATCAAGAGCTGTGACAGCATCGCGGTGATCCAATCGGGGCGCGTCATGGAGATGGGATCTCACGAGGAGCTTCTCGCCAGAGGAGAACAGGGCGCCTACTCGTCCCTCCTAAGAATGCAGCTTTAAAATTCATATCATGCTATTTGTTTATAATGTTAGTATATATTCATGTTAGATTTTAGGGTTCTTGAGAAAGATAGTTCCGAATTCATCGAGCGTCTGAAGCCGTACTTTCCGGCCTGCAAATTTGTCATCCTCGACCTCTTCAAAAGGGATTTGTTTGTCCAATATCCCTCCCCTGCAAAATGAAACAATCCACTCGCCGCAAACGATTGCGCTTACCATTCTTCCTGATACATTGCTCTCTATGCAGAAACCTGAAAGAAAGAACACACTAGCTTGTTAAATGTATCTTAAACACTAGAAATGAAGTTATATTAGAAAAATAATTTCAGTCCCGGGGTAACCTTTTATATCAGATGTGCGTTTATAAACCAACCCTAATCGTCCTCTGTTTTTTAGGGTTCTTCAGTGGCTAGGGCTTTATGGTGCACAATGCGTTTGACGACGTGTGCGTGGTGAGGGATTGCCCCTCGAGGATCGAGAGCGCCATTGTCACGGAGTCCAGCACC